TGCAGGGGGACATACCTGCATATGGTCAACATAAAATGCCTTGCGGCCCGCCACCGGATTACGCTGATGGGCTGCGTGCCGAAGGTTGCCGACCCCTGATCTACACTGAGTAGTGTCTCAGTTTAGACATCTCATATGGGTAGAGCTTGGAAGAAGAGTATCATTGCTTTCCCCCCACTCAATTCTACCTGTAGAACCTCTCTTGTAATTTTATGCATACAAGCTTTCTGTTGCATAAGGTGGAAATACATATGACTGTGTTCTTGCCAGAAAAAATAAAAATAGTTTTTTGGAATACCTACTGTTTTAGGCATTTTAAAAGGGTAAATGTATATGGTTAACATTTAAAGTATATTTGATTCAGCACCTCTTCAACTGTGGACTGCTACTCTTACAACTCTTGTATAAGGGACCTATACAGTTCCTCCCTTTCCCCACTTTTGAGAAGATGGGAGCACTGGTACTCTCCCAAGAACCACCCACAACCCATTTCACTTTCCTATGAAAGCAAAATTAGATTGTGCAGATCTTCAGAATATAATCATCCATTTCCTGTTTTACCTGTTTTGATCATCAGTGAAATACTTATCTAAATTATTATGAACAAAGGTCATTCTCACTTCGGATCTTGTATTTCAGGCTGATTGCCGACTAGGACAAGGACAAGGGTCCTTGTCTACACTAACCATCTTACTGAAAAGCTTTCTATCATTGGTAACACCGGTGCAGCTCCACTAATGGGAGTCCAAGTGTAGACAAGGCACTGCCCGCAGCTCATATTTTTGCCAATATGTCATGTTTTAAACAGGTTTAGCTGACAAGCTGAAACACCCATGGCTGCTTGGAGCCTTGACTATCCCAATGTTCCCACTGGAGGAAGTGCCACAATAGGAAATTTTGAGAAAGAGTTGTTTGCAAACATTGCAGCTACACTGGAAACATTGAACATAATGCAAAACTTACATTATAGCAACTAGTGGCAATGATACAACTGGATTGATGCTTATGTTAAGCCATTAATATAGAAAGGGCTCACCACTGTATCATGAAAACCTATTTTAACAGATTTTCAAGACGGTGGTTAAAAACTCCTGAGCTCTATCCTTGGTATCACTTACACTTTTATCACCAGTGCCATCTGTGGCAATGGCTGAAATATGGGTACTAACTTTCCTAGCATAGACAAAGTCTAAAGGGTAGAGACTTATTTGTAAAAAAACAAACAAACAACCTGGGCTGTCATAAGCTGTCAAAATTCAACTTCTTAATGCGGTGCGGTAGATCTCTAGGATCCCTGCCAGTTTGCCACAGAAAAACGTAGAACCTGCATTTTTAAAGAGAATCATTAGTTTTTACATTTTGTGAAAAATAAAAACATATACAATGGAACCCCAATTATCTGATTGAATTGGGAATGGGGACAGGTCAGATAACCAGGAGAATGGGCAGGGCTCGGGCTGTCAGCTTAAAAATTGTAAATATATCACTAGAACATTGTGTTCCACTGATATGTGTATATATTGTAGCTAGGGTAACTAAAGTTCAGCATTTCATTTTAACCGTGGAAAAACTTGGAATTTTATGGTTTTTTATTGAAGAATTTTGGTTTTTGTATCACAGAAAACTAGGATTCCTGGTGATAGGCAACCGTAATGTCTGCTACTGCAATAACTGGAGAGTTCAGACACTCTGAACAGCCAGGATGGACACACTGCACTATGACAAGTAACAAAGTTCAGCTGAACTGTTTACTTGTAATAATGCAAATCTAAAGTGCAGATGGAACTAGTGTGTCTGCTGGTACTTTAGACTGCTGTTTTATAAAGACAAGATCTTGGGCTTCCCCATCAGTCAATCTCAGTGCATGCAGATCTTAATGCAGTAGAAAACCAGAGACCAAGACAACACAATTTCCCAAAATCATCAGATTTCAAGAGAATCTTCAAAGGCACAGGAACCACAGGGGGATATCATTAGTCTTTTCTTTTATACCTGTAACAAAAAATGTCTACTTTTTCACAACCCTAAATGTAAAATCAAATGTTATTAGTGCCACATCCCCGGCAAGCCCCTCTGCCTAAAGGCCAGCCTATATGTTACTTTCTCTCAGAAGACAATTTGTATTTTTTACCAGTGACAACACCGTTCTTCCAAGCAAACACATTTATTAGGGCAAAAACGTTACAGGGAAACCATAAAAAATAAGAGTTCCTATATGCATGCTAAAAGCTTACCAGAGGTCATCCATCAGTCTTATGAAGTTCTAGTAAGCCAAAGGCCCTCCAAACCTTCCGCAAGTGGGTCCTTTCTGTTTGCCAAATCAAAAGAAAGCCATGTAAACCGAAATGCTTTTTATACCGAAAGCCCTTTCTTTGTCCAAATCTCTGGAAAAATCCAGTTTCAGTCAGTATATTCAAACACCCCAGGGGGTGGCATTTTTTTGGAATTGTTTACAATCTCCAGAGTAATCACCCCCTTATAATTACTCCCCTACTGTTTTTAGTTCCTGGAGGATCCATGGAAAGCCTCCACCATGGAGTAGAACACAATCATGCATAAACCATTAATATATTTCATACAGTGGACCCCAAAGATGCTGCATGGGATTGCAATATCTGTCACAATTAGAATCACACAGGCCTGTAGCTAGGAAAGCAAAAATAGGGAGGCAATAAATTGTGGGTCATCGCCCTCCTGGCAAATTTTAGACGAGCAAGTGCAATTTCCTGTATTTTAGAAGATTTAATTTCTTAGGAATTGCAAATAAACTGTCATTGACAAATTATATGGGATATCAGTCATTTATAAGATGCACTGTCTTTTTTTTTTTTTTTAAACCTGAGACCTGTTCTGAGCAAAGATTGACAACTCAGTGTTTAAATCACCAGAAGCCACCTGGAGCCCTGTCTACACTAATGCTTTCACCACTGCTTCCATTGGTGGAGCTGAACTGGTGGTAATGATGGTGTGACGCTTGGCTAAAAAAGGGTTAAACATCCTGCAAAATAAACAACTCAAATTCGACCCTTAAAGACATGTGGGTAGGTAATTGTTGTGTTTTTGTGTATTTGCATGTGTATGGGTAATGGTCAACAATGTAATCAACAGTCCCTGTCTATGCTGTATTCTGATAATTCAGAGCTCAAAACAACACCCTAGCATTTAAATTAATTGTAAACACTGGGATCTCTCTGTATTCATCTCTCTTTGAAATGTATAGCAAATCATCTGTGAACGGTGGAGGAACAAGGAAATTGCCTTATGTTAATGCTATATCTAAGTACTGGTGATGGACCTCCTGCAAAGATGGATCTCCCCGAGGAACTCCAACTTGTCAAAGAGGACATGAAATTGTATAAAAGATCCTTGGGTCCTGATCCTGTTCATCTCAGAGCTGCTTGAGGCTTCATACAGTGGAAACTTAGGCCATAAGGACTGCGATCCCAGTTCTAACTGGATCACCCTGAAATATAAACATTGGACTATAACCTATAGACTATTTCTGAAAGAACTCTTTGCAACTATAAAGCTCACCATCTCTACTATGAATCTGAATCTTAAGAATTGAACTCATGTCTGTATGTATATTGATCTTTTAACCATACTCTCTCTCTTTTGTTTTTTAATAAAATTTAGTTAATAAGAATTGGCTGTAGCGTGTATTTGGGTAAGATCTGGAATATTCAATAACCTGGGAGGTAATGTGTCCAATCTTTTGGGATTGGTAGAACCTTTTCTTTTATATGATGAAATAAGATTTTCAGAAATCATCATATTTGACTTAGGTACCTGGATGGAGGCCTGAGGCTGGATCACTTTAAGGGAACTTTATTGTTTGGACTTCTGAGTAACCAGTAAGGTAATAAAGAAGCTGTTTTATGCTGGCTTGGTAAATCTGAGTATTGGAATATCCACCAGCTTTTTGGGGATTGTCTGCCCCATTCTTTGCAGTTCACCCTAATTGAGTGACCACAGCTGGCCCCTACTGGGACCCCAGCCACAGTGACTTAGTCATGCTAGGATACACATTACCACAGGTTAATTGGGTTTTTGGATCAGATTTTGGACCACACGCTTGTCAAAAATTAATGTTGGCTATTGGAGAGTTTAAGGGTTAAAAATCAGTTACAGTGAGTGACCCTGATTAAGATCCTGACAGAAAAAGCCTGGAAGAATTGTGCTCACAGAGGGGGTTGTCTTTTAAGAAAAAAGCCCCAGAGCAGGAATTGAAAATCTGTTAATTGCTAGTGGTAAGGAAAAACAATGAGGAGTCCTTGTGGCACCTTAGAGACTAACACATTTATTTGGAAAAAGAAAAGGAGGACTTGTGGCACCTTAGAGACTAACCAATTTATTTGAGCATGAGCTTTCGTGAGCTACAGCTCAGAAAGCTCATGCTCAAATAAATTGGTTAGTCTCTAAGGTGCCACAAGTCCTCCTTTTCTTTTTGCGAATACAGACTAACACGGCTGTTCCTCTGAAACCTGACATTTATTTGGGCATAAGCTTTCGTGGGTAGAACCCACTTCATCGGATGCATGGAGTGAAAGTACAGGAGCAGGTATAAATACATGAAAGGATGGGGGGTTGCTTTACTAAGTGTGAGGTCAGTCTAACGAGTTAAATCAGTTAACAGCAGGATACCTTCAAAACTTCAAAAACAGACTCCAACGTGAAGCTGCAGAACTGGAATTAATTTGCAAACTGGATACTATCAGATTAGGCCTGAATAGAGACTGGGAGTGGTTGGGTCATTGCAAAACCTAAACTTAATTTCCCCAGTACTAGTTTCTCCCTACTGTTACTCACGCATTCTTATCAACTGTCTGTAATGGGCCACTCTCTTACCGCTTCAAAAATTATTTTTCCTCCCTTGATATCCTGCTGTTAATTGATTTAACTCATTAGACTGACCTCACACGTGGTAAAGCAACCCCCCATCCTTTCATGTATTTATACCTGCTCCTGTATTTTCACTCCATGCATCCGATGAAGTGGGTTCTAGGCCATGAAAGCTTATGCCCAAATAAATGTGTTAGTCTCTAAGGTGCTACAAGGACTCCTTGTTGTTTTTGCTGATACAGACTAACACAGCTACCCCTCTGAAACCAGTGATAGCGAAAATGCTTGCAGTGAGAAACCAGTAGCAGTTTGAACAAAGAATGGCATATCTTCAGTTTCTGGAAAAGCAAAAAATAACTGATACGGAAAGAGAACGCCTGTGTTTTGAACATGAACAGAGACTGGCATATATTCGATTACAGGAACTAGAAGCTAAGCAAAAGTGGACAGACTTAAGCTCCAACTCAAGAGAATAAAGGAACAACAGGAACTGTATCATCCTGAAAAGCCAGCTTCTCTGAACAACAAAGATGGGGATAGAATCTATCCAGTTTGTAACAATGTTGGTATGTTTTTTGACTCTAAGCAGTTGTCTGTGTGTAACCAAATATACTCCAACACTGCCACCTTTTATGTAAATGCTTTTACTGTGATCTCAGGTGAAGGTAACCCCATTACTTGTGCAGAGAATGTAAAAGTCAATGGTAAAAGCTGTTTAGGGAAAGTTCCAGCTTCTAACATCACACTTGTTAAAGAAGATTACTTATAAGATCAGAGTGTGAATATTGTAATTCTCTATGAGTTTACTGTAAGTGCCTTTAGCCAAAATCCACCTTGAATGGAATGGTGTTAAATATGAAGTTAGAGCTGGTGTAAGGAAGTTATTGCCTAAGGATCTTTTTATTGGGGATGATATTAAAGCTTTGTTCAATCAGGTTGACATAAATCAGTCACAGGAAAGAAATAATCCTGAACCTGTGTCTATTAGGGGGCAAGGACTTGCTTATGGAGCGGTTCTCCAAATGCTTGTCTAAGGAAGATAGCTGTTTATCTATGCAAGGAGGCAGTGTATATGTGGAAGAAATTTCTGTGTCTGATATCTCAGAAGTAAATCTGCCATTAGATAAGGCTCAGGGAAATGTTTCTCTAGAGCAAATTAAAGTTGGTGATCAGGTTAAAGACCTAACTGAGGAAGGAAAGGATACAGTCTTGGTAAGTGATGAATTGTTAGCAAGTGATTTGTTTAAAGCAGCTCCGTGTAATGAGAAAAGGAGTACTTGTGGCACCTTAGAGACTAACCAATTTATTTGAGCATAAGCTTTCGTGAGCTACAGCTCACTTCATCGGATGTTTCCACAGTATGCATCCGATGAAGTGAGCTGTAGCTCACGAAAGCTTATGCTCAAATAAATTGGTTAGTCTCTAAGGTACCACAAGTACTCCTTTTCTTTTTGCAAATACAGACTAACAGGGCTGTTACTCTGAAACCTGTCAGTGTAATGAGACTCTTATCTATGGAGAATAGCAATTTATCTGTTGGGAGTGGCATTTTAAGGAAGCTGTCACACTGTCTGGGTGTATGTCTGAAATCAGCCATGGGTGCTGAAACAAAGAGAAAGATGAAGTGAGCTGTAGCTCACGAAAGCTTATGCTCAAATAAATTTTTTAGTCTCTAAGGTGCCACAAGTACTCCTTTTCTTTTTGTGGATACAGACTAACACGGCTGCTACTCTGAAACATATCTCCAATTTATTTGAGCATAAGCTTTCGTGAGCTACAGCTCACTTCATACTCTGAAACATATCTCCAGTTGTTTGTCTGTTTTGAATAGCAGCATGCCTGCTGAGAAACAGTGTCTCTCTAGTTCTCTGTCTGTAAAGCAGACAGAAGAAGCCTGTCACCTATGATGGTTGAAAATTTATTAGTTAACTCAGAGTTGATTCTGGATACAACAAAAGCCCAGGAAGGAAGTGGTCCTAAATTTCTGTCTGCTAGGGATAATGACATTATAACTAGGTTGCATCCAGTTAATGTCATAAGTAGCTCCCAGGGACCAAGCAATTCTGGTGCTTTTATTTTGCCTGTTGCTAGTATGTTGCTGGGTAAAAATATGACAACCTTGTCTGACCAGGTTGATATAGCCAGGGCACAAGGAAAGCATGAAGGTGATTTAACTATGTTACCCACTGACGGTGGGGAAACTTTTAACAAGGAAGAGGATGTTTCTAATCTTTTGACTATGAAGTCTAGCAATTTACCTGAAAGGGGATTGTGTAAAAATCCTCCTGATGGGCCAGAGGTGATTCTGGATGTATGTGAAACTCAAAAGGAGGTTGGTGATTCGTCTGTTGTGCCAAAGTCAGTTCTGGACATAAATAAAGCTCAGAAAGAATCTGTTGCATTGCATAATACTGCAGAAGGAAAGGAATTTCTGGGTGAAGTCTTTGAGGTCTGTGAAAAGGAATTGTTTCCATTGACTCTTAATGGGCCATTGTTGATAGTAAACAGTGTCTCTTCTGAGGAAAGTATGTTGGTGCCTAATGGCCAAAGTCTTTCAAATGAAAATGAATCCACTGAATTTGCTTTAGAAAAATCTAGTGTGAATAGCTTAAAGAAGGCTTCCTTAGCTAATTTTGAAAGTGAACAGTCTGTGTCTCAGGTTGAAGAAAGAGGCTAGATTCCTGGTTTTACACAGCAGAGCAGCCTTATGAATAGACCCATAGACACTTTTTGGATTTGTCATGTAATTTCTTAGTAAGCACTAGCTAGTGCATCTGATACCTTGTGGATGCAGAAATTGCTAGGTGAAAAGCAGAACTATAGTTCAGACATGATAGAAAATGGTTGTGTCTCTTTAAGGCATGATGTCCATACAAACTTCCTACCTGACAAGAAAAAAAAAGAAAAGCAAGCTAACTCTTAAAAAGCAAAATGCCTTTACAAACTTGCCTCCCTCATCTCTAAAAGACTAAAACCTCAAGGAAGTGGTTAAACTGAAATCCTATGTTAAGAAAAATCCTAAAGTAAAGAAAAAGCTACGAAAGTTCAAAAGGGACATTGAACAAGCTAACCTAACAAATTATTTGTCTAAACAAAAAGGCTTGGTATGACAAAAATTATTGTAAATGTACACGTGATAGAACTGATGTTAATATTATTGCTAATAATTGTAACTAACATGTTGCTGATACCAAAAACTGTAAAAATTTACAATGTGCCTAATCTTTTGGAAAAACCCTTGAACATGTTAAGAGTGATACATAAGAACACACTTTATGTTAAAAGGCCTTGTGATACTGATATTTCACAGTGAATGCCTGTATCTGATCTGGAAACTGTACACAGGAGAAAAGACATTGTGGACCTAATGTGCTGTGCAAAAAAGGGAAACTGAGGTATAACACCTCACAGCCCTCATGGTTGAATGCTAGAGTATGTGCTCTTTGAAGAACATTAATGGCTATGTTAAGTCAATACATAGACTAAATCCTGGAATCACTAAAGTGTTTCACAAAGTACGGACTAAGGTTCTAACTTGGGCAAAAGCATGCATCAATAATTTGGCCTTACTAAGAATTCAGTGTAAACATGGCACATATCAATGTTGGAAGGTCCTTAAAAGGTATCCAGGACCTTTAATTTCTCCCTTCCACACCAGACTCACATTGAGGGTGTGACGCATGGCTAGAAAGGGTTAAACATCCTGCAAAATAAATGACTCAAATTCGACCCTTAAAGACATGTGGGGAGGTAATGGTTGTGGTTTTATGCATGTATATGGGTAATGGTCAACAATGTAATCAACAGTCCCTGTCTATGCTGTATTCTGATAATTCAGAACTCAAAAGAACAGCCTAGCATTTAAATTAATTGTAAACACGGGATCTCTCTGTATTCATCTCTCTTTGAAATGCATAGCACATCATCTGTGAACGGTGGAGGAACAAGGAAATTGCCTTATGTTAATTCTATATCTAAGTACTGGTGATGGACCTCCTGCAAAGATGGACCTCCCCGAGGAACTCCAACTTGTCAAAGAGGACATGAAATTGTATAAAAGATCCTTGGGTCCTGATCCTATTCATCTCAGAGCTGCTTGAAGCTTCATACAGTGGAAACTTAGGCCATAAGGACTGCGATCCCAGTTCTAACTGGATCACCCTGAAATATAAACATTGGACTATAACCTATAGACTATTTCTGAAAGAACTCTTTGCAACTATAAAGCTCACCATCTCTACTATGAATCTGAATCTTAAGAATTGAACTCATGTCTGTATGTATATTGATCTTTTAACCATACTCTCTCTCTTTTGTTTTTTAATAAAATTTAGTTAATAAGAATTGGCTGTAGCGTGTATTTGGGTAAGATCTGGAATATTCAATAACCTGGGAGGTAATGTGTCCAATCTTTTGGGATTGGTAGAACCTTTTCTTTTATATGATGAAATAAGATTTTCAGAAATCATCATATTTGACTTAGGTACCTGGATGGAGGCCTGAGGCTGGATCACTTTAAGGGAACTGTGTTGTTTGGACTTCTGAGTAACCAGTAAGGTAATAAAGAAGCTGTTTTATGCTGGCTTGGTAAATCTGAGTATTGGAATATCCACCAGCTTTTTGGGGATTGTCTGCCCCATTCTTTGCATTTTACCCTAACTGAGTGACCACAGCTGGCCCCCACTGGGACCCTGGTCACAGATGATAGGACTTTTTTCTTTGGGGCTGATAGGGAGACACCCCCTAGTGAAACACCCCCTTAGAAAGCTTTCCTCTCTCTCTGCAGCTGCCCGTCTGCCAAGATATGGAAGACAACAGGTAATGACACTGAGACAGGTGTGGAAGCAGAGAAGTTCATTGTTCATGAATGGGAGTGGTTAACAAAGAAATAAACTTTTGGATGAGACACACTTGTGGGCATTTCATATCACATGGCATTCTTCTCAAATGTAGGGATGTAAGTCCCAGTACCTGCTTAAAATCTATCTAAAATTATCCTTGCAGGTTGACTTTTATGATATTCTACAGTTCCTGCCTTACACTCTTGTCTAGTGTCAATATGCACGCTTACTAGCTACCACTTTCCACCCCAGAAACAGTAGCATTTAGTGGTCAATGAAGTGATTCCTCTATATGTACCCTGTGAGGCTCATAAAATTATATAGGATCCTTCAGGATGAGAATCCTCATGTAAATGGAAACAATTTTTGTAAATGTTTAATATATACAAATTACAGTTGTCAGTATCCAAAATCTATAGCCATGTCTGAGATTCAAGTATCTGAACAGGGTGGGAGGTTACAGTCCTTACAGTGAATCATTTTAGGGCCAAATATCTAATATTTAAAATTACTTAAGTGTGACAGAACTCTGGATTCTAAATAGTATAACTACTTATTACTCAATTGCTGATATTAAAATAGAAACAAGTACTATTTTTAAAGAAGCCATAAAGTGTGAGAGTGCCTCTTATGGCCCATGAAACGGTAGTTCCCTAGTAAACACTTTTACTAGAGCAGTGCTGACATTGATGATGATGATGATGGCATACAAAATTGATTTGAGAGAATAAGGAGCAATAAAAATTTGAAGATGTTATTAAGCAAAACCTAGGGCCTCTATAAGTGTGTGGAACTGAGTCCCACATGGAAAAGAACAATTTTAGGAAAATAATTTCAAGCTCCAAAGGCATTTCTGTCACCAAGATCACTGAGTAATAATGGACATATTCACTTGATAGGTTCGTTGGTTTTACGAGGTGTAGGGTGTATTTTCTTTAATTAGAATAACATGCTTTTTTAAGGGCTGTATGAACATAATAATCCTAAGGGCTATCTCATCCCTAATTGTTTTGTCTTCTTTACAGATGTGCCTCCAATTGTGGCAGGGCTTATTGGTGCCACGGTCCTTGTGGTGTCTGTCTCGGTAACAGTATTTGTGTGGACATGCTGCCACCAGCAAGCAGAAAAAAAGCACAAAACGCCCCCTTACAAATTCATTCACATGCTGAAAGGCATTAGTATCTATCCGGAAACCTTGAGTAACAAGAAGAAGATTATCCGGATCCGCAGAGACAAGAACGGCACTGTCAAGGAGACTGGAAGAGGAAACCTTTTGGTAGATGCTGCAGAAGCTGGTTTAGTGGGCTCCGATAAGGCACCAAATGGGATGAATGCAGCCCCTTGTATCGACCAGCTCCCAATAAAAGTGGATTACGGAGATGAACTGAGTCCAGATCAAAGCATCACTCCAAGTGGGAGCAAAATCTCCTCCCCATCTTCCCCAGAAGAGGCTGTCCTGCTGGGAACACTGACTTTCTCAGTGGACTACAATTTCCCCAAAAAAGCATTGGTGGTGACCATTCAAGAGGCCCATGGGCTGCCAGTGATGGATGAGCACACTCAGGGCTCTGACCCCTACATCAAGATGACAATTCTTCCAGACAAAAGGCATCGAGTGAAGACTCGTGTGTTGCGCAAGACCCTGGACCCTATCTTTGATGAGACCTTTACCTTCTATGGGATCCCCTACAGCCAGCTGCAGGATTTGGTGCTTCACTTCCTGGTGTTGAGCTTTGATCGCTTCTCTCGAGATGATGTGATTGGAGAAGTCATGGTGCCCCTCTCTGGAGTGGATCCGAGCACTGGAAAGGTCCAGCTAACCCGAGAGATCATCAAAAGGAACATACAAGTAAGTGACTTCTCTCTCTGAGTTTGGAGAGACACTTCACGGGTTATGCTTGACCCTGTGTAAGCTGATCCCCAGTTAGGCTGAGTTTTCTTGGCAGAGGGGACTCAAAATGTCTAGGAACCAGGCATACAGCAAACCCTTATTCATGTGAGTAGTTCTTACTTGTACTAGTCCCATTGAAGTCACTGGGAGAAATTGTATCAGAAAGGCTTGCAGGATTGGATCCCAGGTTATTTATGTTCTGGGTTCTTGTCCAAAAGTCGCTATGTAAATGGTTCCAAAGTAAAATACCCACAGAAGTACTTGTCTCCTCTTATATTTAGTGCCTGATAATAATTTCATTTCATTAATGATAATCATTTCATTTAAACTCCATTGTTTCAAACATCTAGGTGTCACTGCTGCAAAAGTTTCAGAGTAGCAGCCATGTTAGTCTGTATGCGCAAAAAGAAAAGGAGTACTTTCTTTACTCGTGAGTTACAGCTCGAAAGCTTATGCTCAAATAAATTTGTTAGTCTCTAAGGTGCCACAAGTACTCCTTTTCTTTTTGCTGCAAAAGTGAATCACACCATGTCACTATAAACAAAACAGTAAAGTGTGGACCACATCAGCGAGGAGGGAATTTTTAACAGAGTCTGTAAATCAGGGTGAATAAAAATCAATGATTTAAAAAAAAAATCAGATTTTTTGGATTTAAATCGGATTTTTTTGATAAAATGCTTTTTGAGGAAAAAACCTATAGTTTTAATTAAAAGAAAAGGAGTACTTGTGGCACCTTAGAGAATAACCAATTTATTTGAACATAAGCTTTCGTGAGCTACAGCTCACTTCATCGGATGCATACTGTGGAAAGTGTAGAAGATCTTTTTATATACACACAAAGCATGAAAAAATACCTCCTCCCACCCCACTCTCCTGCTGGTAATAGCTTATCTAAAGTGATCACTCTCCTTACAATGTGTATGATAATCAAGTTGGGCCATTTCCAGCACAAATCCAGGTTTTCTCACCCCCCCCCCCACACACACACATAAACCCACTCTCCTGCTGGGGGGGGGAGGGAGTGAGAAAACCTGGATTTGTGCTGGAAATGGCCCAACTTGATTATCATATACATTTTAAGGAGAGGTTTCAGAGTAACAGCCGTGTTAGTCTGCATTCGCAAAAAGAAAAGGAGTACTTGTGGCACCTTAGAGACTAACCAATTTATTTGAGCATAAGCTTTCGTGAGCTACAGCTCACTAGCTCACGAAAGCTTATGCTCAAATAAATTGGTTAGTCTCTAAGGTGCCACAAGTACTCCTTTTCTTATTGTAAGGAGAGTGATCACTTTAGATAAGCTATTACCAGCAGGAGAGTGGGGTGGGAGGAGGTATTTTTTCATGCTTTGTGTGTATATAAAAAGATCTTCTACACTTTCCACAGTATGCATCCGATGAAGTGAGCTGTAGCTCACGAAAGCTTATGCTCAAATAAATTGGTTAGTCTCTAAGGTGCCACAAGTACTCCTTTTCTTTTTGCGAATGCAGACTAACACAGCTGTTCCTCTGAAACCTAGTTTTAATTAAGATACATTATAGCTCAAAGATATCTCATCATGGAATAGGGATTATAAATTATAATTCTATAGTATGAGACAATATATTCATGTAATGTTTAAGAAAAGTTTTGTAAATGAGTTCCAATAGTTCATGGATTAGGGACCCGATTTTATGGGGTTCCACAGGCTTCTGTATAGATTATTTAGGTTAACCTTTCTATCTACCCAATGAGACTCAGTGCTCAGTTTAGAAGATACCATCAGAGATGCTTAGTTTTGCAGTTCTCAAACTGTGGATTTATGTCTCCAGAGGTAACATGCTTGTTAACAGCAACATTTTTTAAAAAATAAATAAATAATATAGAGAGGTGAGAAATAACAGACCTTAACTCTATTGTCCCTCTGCAACTTTGTGTACACAGAGTTAATCCCTTACCTCTCTCTAAAAGTGCAAAGTTTCAGAAAATTCAATGAATAGAAGATTGTTGGGGGCGGAATAGATCTGGACCAGGAGAAGAAGTCTGGAGATAAATGTGAGAAGTGTGGGACATATGCTTGTTTTGTTAAAATATTATGTTTGCTGTTGAAGAAAAAAATCCAGAATACTTAACACTGTTGTTTTAGTTAAATAAAACAGTTTAAATGTCTCTCTGGTGATGTTCTCCTCCTAATACAGCATGGCAAGAAAATCCTCCAAATATTAATGATTAACCTTTTGAATTGGAGGTAGTTCACCTCCCAATGACTTCATAAATATCTGCTTCAATTACTTTGGTAATTGAAATAACCAATCATTCATTTTCTGATATAGCTGTAAAACTAATCTGAAAAGTTTTCAAAATAAATCCCTGTTTAAAAATGTATAGTGTATACCTTTTAAAAATGAAACCTACACTTATCTCTGAGTTGTGAAGAATATGTATTCAGGTTATAACAACCAACAAGAATGCACTTCTATGTGGAAAATCATGATTAAATCGAGTCTTCCTGACTAGTGATTTAAATCATGCTTTAAATCAATTTGATTTAAATCAAATCCACCCTGCTATAAAGGCTGGTTGACTCTTGTAATTTGCTGCTGTGTATATATGTCTCTTTTCTAATTA